TCGCCTTAAAACAGCAAAGGTAAGATTATGTAAATCTGTAAACAGGAAAGGAAACCATTGGATTATCAGTCTGATACTTCCGAAGGAAAGGCTCAAGCTGCTTACTAAAAGAAACAAAAAATGCCAACTTAGAAGATAAAAACATGTCGTTGTTGACTGCTGTTCTAACAGTTTCAAAAGATTCGGTTTGTGGCTGTGTTATTTCCTTTTTTGCTGCAGAGTCACAGAACTTCTTAAAATGCGGCAATATGTCAAAAGCTCCCTGTGCTACTTTAGAATTTTCAAGCCATCTATGGGCACAAAACTTCAAAGGTGCTTGTGTACACTGAGACGTTTTGAAATAATCCTCATGCCTGGCTGGAGTGTCTTCAAGTAATCTATACATGGATTTAAGCACTTTCTCCAATCCCAGCCTGCTGCAACCATGGCTGTTTTACAAGCATCATGAACTTTGTGTAACCCACAGCTGCCAACATTCAGTAACTCTGTGCCATAGTTTTCACCAAGTAACATTCACTTTGTCATGAAATGACCAGTTTACATTCGGCCCATCCATCGAAAGCTGTATCAAATAGGCCAAATTCAATGTGGACGTTGCATCTTCAAACGCAGATTGCATATCAACAGCTGTGGCATGGCCAAGAAATTTTGATGTCAAATAATTTGTTTTGATGACATCAGCATCCCAAAATCTGACATGGAAATCCATTTGTTTCAGCTGAAATGATTTGTTCATACTTTCATCAAACAGGAGGACAAAATTTCTCTTGAACAATTTAGCTTCCAGTAACGAAGTGAAATATGGGACTAGACCAAATGAAACCAGGTAGGAACATTTTCTCTCAGACAAAGAAAATTTCTTTGCAATTGAACTGTCTGGAAACATTCTCTGGAAAATTGTATTAATGCCTGTGTTCGAAACAAAGCTGTGATGTCTATTGATTGAAAATAAAGTCCAAACAATTTCAGCTTTTAAAGAATCTTCCTTACACACCAAAGAAAGGATGTCTGGAGTGTGTTTGATGGTGGTGGTTGATGATGTTGATGCCACAGAGGATGACGGTAAAACATCATGAATTTTATTCTGAAAATATAATACTTATATTTAAACATTTCTGGCAATTATGCAAACATGCATGAATATAACATAATAATTTTATTTTAGTTTACATTTAAAATTGACTCAGTTATGTTCCATGCGTGGTTAAAACAGAAGCTGAAGTATATTAGGCATTTATTATTTACCTTAAATTAAAATTATTTAACTTTAAGAATGGAAAGAAAATGGAGGTAACAGGCGAAGAAAAAGAAAAAAATACTATTCACTCTGCTATGAATACCATACCATAAAAGACAAAGCAAGAGTGTACGTAGGTACAAGACAAGTGATGATGGTTCATCAGTGGTGCTGAAGCCGATATTGGTGTCAACTTTGTTTTTTATATGAACAACAAAATTCATATATCACTGATTATAGCAGTAACAACAATTCACTAATAAATTTTGTGTACCTTTATTTTATGTCTGGGGCAAACAGAACACCACATATTTTTTTTACAGTATAAACTATTCAAGGAAAAAAGGATTACACTTGACAGAATAAATAGCAGTCTGCAGTGCTATAAAATATATTTTTATTTTTAAGTTATTTTTTGTTTGTTTGAAGCACTAATACTAATGACTATGATAAACAAGCTGATTTAAATCTAGCACGTATTTTAATTTATAACATCAATGACATGAAGTGAAGCGTAAAAGTAAAGATACTGATCCGCTTTAGCTTTACATTCATAATCAAAAGAATAATTATTATAACTAAAAAAATAATAAATTAATAATGTAATAATCAAATTGCATCATTGCAATTAGCAGAAAGTGAAAGTAACTGAAGCTATATAATAAATGATAACGATTTCTAACACTAAGAAAACTAAATTAAGTGAATACTACTTACTTTTACTGAAACAAAAGACGTGATGCTGGTGTTCTCAGTCTGGGCTGAGACAAGTTCTTGGTGCTTTTTTCCACTTGCGTGTGAACGCAGTGCGGTTTTTCCCATTGACTTCAAGTCTATGTCTTTTTTACATAGCTTGCATTTTGCGTGATTTTCGCTGATCCCCGCAGCTATCCAATTTTTAAAGTCAGGGATGTTTAACCATCCGAGCTGAAAACGACATCCAGGCATTGTGATGTAGGCTGTAGAGTAAAATATTTAAACGCACGACGAAGTCCCTCCGTACGACACAACGCAAACAAAGCAGACAAAGAGAACAATGAGATCAATTGCCCGCTCAACGTTTACCGGAAACGATCGTGAACGTTGAAAACGAAAGTAGCTGAAACTAGCCAAATCGCCGGAAAAAAAAGCCGAACTGCCGAAAATCGCAGGACTTCCGACGATCTCATTGCGGCGGTCAAAATTCACGGCTTTTTAAGGTCGGAATGTCTTTTATAAGCTAAAATTCCCGGTTCAAGGTCAACGGAAAAAAATCCCGGTAATTTCCCGATTTCCCGGTCCACTACGAACCCTGTGATTGCTATTTTTTTGGTCTTGTGTTTGATGAGGCGCAACACAGATCACTCCTCTCCACATCGGGCTGGCAACACTTGTTTTAGTTTCATGATTGTTCAAGCTAAACATCTAGGTTACAGGCACAAGTGCACTCAATTTCAAAACTGCTTGGAGCACCCCATGAAAGTCCCCCCCCCCCCCCCTTTCCCCCAGGCGGGAGATCAGTGGTTAAGACAGTTTCTATCAACTTTCTGTACGATGTCTTACGTTATTAAAGGCACAACCAAACACCAACAGAACCCCAGCCATTTCTACACTTGTTCTGGATTCTTCTCACACTAATCTTCCTTAGATCTTACAACACTACTTGTCTGTACCGACATCCTCGTACACCAGTCTGACACATTTATGCTCCATCTTCCAATGCAGCAGCCATCTCAGTGTCTGGTGACATGCCGTGGTACTATTCTTTGCTTCTCTGGCATGATCTGGCAGCATATCCCATAGACGCTGTGCAGATGTGGTTTCTAAGGCGCATTCTGCAGATACCGTCCACAGAGAGAGCAACAGACAACAACTGCATGGAAATGGCTAAAGATGGCTAATAAAATTAGAAAACTGTAGACAACATTAAGAAAGAGGAAACTAGACAACTATAAGAAAGAGGAAACTAGACAACTATAAGAAGGAGTCAACTAGACAACTATAAGAAAGAGGCAACTGGACAACTATAAGAAAGAGTCAACTAGACAACTATAAGAAAGAGGCAACTAGACAATTATAATGAAGAGGCAACTAGACAACTATAAGAAAGAGGCAACTAGACAACTATAAGAAAGAGACAACTAGACAACTATAAGAAAGAGGCAACTAGACAACTATAAGAAAGAGGCAACTAGACAACTATAAGAAAGAGGCAACTAGACAACTATAAGAAAGAGGCAAGTAGACAACTATAAGAAAGAGGCGACTAGACAACTATAAGAAAGAGGCGATTAGACAGCAATAAGAAAGAGTCAACTAGACAACAATAAGAAAGAGGCAATTAGACAACTATAAGAAAGAGGCGACTAGACAGCTATAGGAAAGAGGCAACTAGACAACTATAAGAAAGAGGCAACTAGACAACAATAAGAAAGAGGCAACTGGACAACTATAAGAAAGAGGCCACTAGACAACTATAAGAAAGAGGCGACTAGACAACTATAAGAAAGAGGCGACTAGACAACTATAAGAAAGAGGCGACTAGACAACTATAAGAAAGAGGCAACTAGACAACTATAAGAAAGAGGCAACCAGACAACTATAAGAAAGAGGCGACTAGACAACTATAAGAAAGAGGTGACTAGACAACTATATGAAAGAGGCGACTAGACAACTATAAGAAAGAGGCGACTAGACAACTATATGAAAAAGGCAAGTAGGCAACTATAAGAAAGAGGCAATCAGCGTTCTACGGTCATGTGATCAGGAGAGACATGGAGAACATTGTGATGACTGGAAAGATCAACAATAGAAGAGGCAGAGGGTGACCAAAAGAGACTATACTTGATGGTCTGGAGCGATGATATGGAAGAATGTCATCAGTGGAATTGATTCAAAATACCAAGGACCGAGATCTGTGGAGAGACCCAAGCACCTATATAGCCTGGCCGGACACATGATGATGATGATGACGATGATGGTAGTAAATCACATTTTGTTTCTCTACATGTAATTAAACGGCGACAACAAGGACAACAAGGACAACAAGGACAGCAAGGACAACAAGGACAGCAGGAAGTGGTGCAGACACATCAATTAATTCAACAATTACATGGTGTTTTATTCTCCAGGCAATTTATGATAATCACAAATAATATAATTTTACAAAGTGTATTGTCATGAAACAAAGGACACATGGTGGCAATTATTTATGCTGGTACAGCAGCAATCTGACCAGTTCCCTTCCTTGTGCAGATTTTATGTAAATCAAAAAGCAAAGTTTCTACCACTGACATCACTTTAGGCTATCATGTCATCAGCTGTCAAGGTTCAGCATTATCATCCAAGATCACACAGCCACAAAATTCAAATATTCTTTTTCTTTGATATTTCTCACTTCTTATTAATCAAGTGACGAGAGAAGTGTTAACAGCGATGGACTCTCATGCGCAAGACCTGGGTTCGTTTTTTGATAAGGGATTGAGATGTTTTCTGACAGGGGCAAAAATCCAAATGCAAAGCTGCAGTTTGTGGTGGCTGCATGAGACATGCAGGCTTCAGCCCCGACCCATCCTAGACCACCCCAAACGAGTTCAATATAGGCAGTACAGACAGTGATTATCCTAGCTAAGGCATGTTTTGACTGCCTACAACACTGTTTCTTGGTCTATTAACATACATCAAATGTACACCCTGAAAATTTTTTGTTATTGAACACTGAGCTACAAGGTCTCAACTTCTTCTTATTCTCATTCACCAGGTGCAAACATCAGAAAGTTCCGGATGTTCGTCCACTTCTGGATTTTGGTCTTGTTCCAGAATTGAAGTTTTGCACAGACATCCATTTTACAAATCTAGCTTATGCAGACTGTTGGTTCCTCACCTCTCTGACTTTGACAAAATACTCCTTTAGTTAACTGCCTTTTACGACAGCTTGTTAGGGGTCAGTGGCGATATCCTCTCTTCCCCCCCCCCCCCCCCTCACCACCACCTCCAAAATGGAATCACAGAAATGCGCACAGAAAAGGCCAAATCAAAACAGCAACCATTTTTATTCAACAATACCAATTTTATTTACAATAATCTAAAACTAGTATTGGCTGGCTATAAAAAAAAAAAATTACAATCTAGTGTCTTTTAGATGCATGAAAGAACAATATTATGCTTGTTCTCCATTCTGTGCACAGAGACAGTATCTTACGGTACTGTCAGACAAGTGGGATGATTCTAATACAATGAAATCTTGCTAACAAGATACCCATGGGACCAAAAATCAGACTCACGCTAAACCATGGGGACTAAAACTAATAATACCTCCCTGCTGGGACCAAAATTGTGTTCAAGTGTTCTCTTTAAACATATTTGTGTTAATGAGGTTTTACTGTCCATCGTGGAAAAAAACTTTGCTGGACTGTTATCAGATATCAAAGATTTCAGGTTTAGGTGGGTTTTAGGGGCCTCATTTAGAGGGAGAATAAAGAACACACCAACTGCCCTCCTAACCACTGCTTCCCTAACCAGTGCCCCTTAATCCTGCCCCCCTAACCAATGCCCCCTAACCAGTCCCCCTTAATTCTGCCCGTGCTCCCTAATCACTGCCCCCCCCCCCACCTAACCAGTACCCCCTAATCACTGCCCCCACCCACCTAACCAGTACCATCTAATCACTG